CTGAATGCCATGGCTGTCTATCCATCATTCCAAATTCCTGATCATACCTTTTTTATCAAAGATCTCCAGAAATCACAAAAGTTAAGATCACAGATGGGCAACTTGTTGCAAGATCTGTAGACTGGAGCTTGATAGCAAAAACTTGATCTGCTCTGTAATCTGGTCTTTCTCCAGCAGAAATGACCCTGAATCTATTTACATGTCCACCAAATTGTCAAAATACAGACATCATCTGGCATGGTCCCTCACAGTCGTGTGATGTGAAATGTCCACTTTGTGGTCAGATTAAAGGTGAGCTTCTGGTCATGCCTGGAGAAAGGCCAGGGAATACTGTATCCTCAGGTGTCTGCTGCAAATGTTCTTATGTGGTTGCCCAAGCCATGGCAGGGGAACTCTGTGCCTTTGGGCTTCTGGTTGGTCTTTTCTCTGTCCTGCTTCCTTAATCTCTCTGTACCTCATGTTTGTGAAGGCACAACTGCCTTTTAAACTGATTTCTGAATGAAAACAGTCAGCTGGATGGTTGATATCTGGAGAAGTGATGAAGTATAAACAAATGCCTGTGAGGTTCCAGAAAGTATAAAGCCATCCCTGATGACAAAGTGAATTCCAAACAGCTACTTACTATTCTTCATGTTGTGATTAGTCTGATGGGGTATTTCTTCCTGCAAACTGCAATTCTCCTATGGAGCTTCTTGCTACATGATGCTGTGAGTGCCAAAGTTTTTACTGGTTTAAAAAAAACATTTGATGGATTCATGGGGGAGGGGAGGGGGTGGGAAATCCGTCAGGAGCAATATTAAATGCTGAGGTACTATTTGCAATGTATAAAATCTGTGCTGTGGAGGTTGCTTAAGCTGGGAGATTGCCCCACCACAGGAGAAGGGGTACTGTGTGAAGGGACCAGAGCTGTGCTCCAGTGTTCTCTAGATCTCTACCAGGCCTCCAGCAGTCACTGCACCACTCAGCAATTCTTGTTTCACAATGTGCTGAGAGTCTAGGGGAACTGTGACCTCTACTCCAGGCTGAAATCTGACCTCAGAATTATAATTTATTTCAAATTTACTGAAGTATTTAGTCCAAAAGGATATTTTATGGAGGACAGAGAAGAATATGGGGAAGACATGAATGTTTTACACGCAATATTTTGCACTTCCCCAGCTAAAAAGCAATTAAATAAATTTTCTTCTAATTGCTCATAGCATAAGATGGAAAGTAAGTGGAATCTCAACCTTTTAAAAGATATTTTGAAAATAGTGTGAGTGAAAAATATATGTTCAGAATTAGAGTCTGATTTAATAAAATCCTATCGAATTTAGAAATCAAAATTTTATATTGATCATCTTTAATATCTCAATATGTCTCTTTACAAATGCAACTGTTTACAACCTTGAAATTTGTCTAATGCTGCTGCTATATGGAATTTATGAATAACTAATGGGGTTACATGGATTCTGTTACTCATTCTGAGTATCCTGGATATATATTTGGAGCTAATATTTTTATGTATATTTAACGTAATATACATAGAATTGCTCAGGGCAGAATTAAAGCTGTGTCCAACTATGAAAGCTCTTTGCTTTATCTGTTTACTGAATCATTAAGCAAATAGTACCGTGTTTCCTGCATTTAGGCTCTTAAAATTATTGTCTTTATGTTAGAAATAATTCTGTTCTACGCGATTAACGTGACGTGTTCGTATAAGACAAAATGGTCTTCAGTGTAAATTAGGCCTACAGAATTTACCTCAGTGTGTGTTGCTTATGAGATTTCTTCAGCAGGGCCTTTTCCTAAGGCATACATTTATCAGCTGAAATCTTGATTGTTTTGCCTGTATTATGTCACTCACGTCTGGCAAGAACAGCATCCTGCTGTTTGTGAAGCTGACCTCCTGCTGCTATTTAGCCACTTGTAGGATTCTATCCCAATTCCTCTAATCCACTCTGTTTCAATAGCACCATATTTGGGCTCCTTCACAGATTCTTTTGCTGCTCTGTTTGGGATGCTCTATGAGCTGAATTAGAATTTTAATGTTCCGTTCAAAACAGAAGGAACCTTTTTGTTAAATGAGAACATAAGGAATAATCTCCTCCGCTCCCTTGGACAGAATTTCTACACATGCACTAAATTATTTTCCTTCAAACTTTTGTCCAGAAGTTTGGGGCACTATTTCAATATATTGGCTTACTTTATATAAATCAGATCCAATTTGAGGTTTAATGTTGCAGTAAGGCCTGCTACCACCTTAAGTTGTTTCTTTCCTGTTGTAACTCCTCATTCAGAGTTCAGTGCTCCTTGTTTCCATTATGTCAAGGGTTTACTGAAATCTTTTCAAGCTCCTTGTGCAAGTCAGGCCTAATTAAAGCAGAGAACTGAAAGGACTCCAAAAATGGTGTTAGAAGTGACACCAAAGCACAAAGTGCACTGTAGGTATTTTTGCCATACTTACAAGAAGTCAGCAAAGATTTGCATTTGTATTTTTCCAGCAGCTATTTTCTGATCCCCACATAAAACAAGGTTTAGAGAAAACAACTTAAAGCTTGACTGGCGTATATATGTATACACATCTATATCTGTATGTGTTGTCTGTCCCTTTACTTCACAGCTGAGCCTATTAACTTTGCAAGATCTATTTGTAACTAAGATAGCAATTGGAAAAAATGGGATAGCAAAACATGATCCTTTTTAACACAGAGCTTCTAGCCTTACACTTGCCTTAAGAATTGTTCTTTAGAGAATGGGATTTAGTTTATTGAAAATAAAAAGAATGTGGTTAAATTATAATTTTAATTTTATTCTATAAAAAGGAAGAAGTTCCTTGGACACACTCTAATACTGCTTGAGTCTTTGTTGTACAGTTTAAAAAAAATCTTCAGTGCAGTATATATAACCCTAAGTGTATAAAGAGAAAAAAGACATCATGAAGGTGAAACATATTTCAACAACTTCACAAAATGTCTCTCACTTGTACCAAACTTCCCATTCTGGAAAATTCAGAATGTTTTTTAGAGTTCTGTCGTCTAAAGTTCCCTCAAGGTGCTGGATCATCATCGGCAGGAGCCACTGTGCCAAGACCTGATGAGAAACACCATCCCATGGATGGGGTTAGGGTTGCAAGAGGAAGCTGGAAAAGGCAACAGCTACAGCAGGGGAAGGAAAAAGGCTTCAGAAAGTGAAGGTGAAACAGGGAGAGAGGTAGTAAGGTATGGGAAGAGGCAGAGGAAACCATACTGAAGAAAGAAATGGGACAAAGAAAATGTATTATATGACCTACTTTCTTGCATTTAGAAAGGAATATGTATATATGATTTGTTCACAAATGTGTTAACATTTTTAATGATGACAACATATAGGAAAGACGCTTAAAAACTTTTATCAAGGGATTTATTCTAATACAAAATGAAGAGGTTTGTAAGTGATCCATCTATGCAGTATCAGTGTGAAGACTTTTGGTTCTGCTGCTCCTTCTCTGTTTGTACTTTAAAATTAATTGAAAGCCTCATTGTTTTGTTTAAACTGTGAAAGCTTCCAAGGTCAATGAGTGAGGTAATTGACCTGCCTGTTGTAGGACAAAAATATGTATGTTAAATTGCATAATTAGTTTTAATTACATAATTATGGTGTTTAATGTGGGGGGGTCAAAGGTTACTATTACATTTAGAAGTCATGGCAAGAAACACAAAAATAAGCAACATAGTTTAATTCTGTGTTTCTTTGCGTTTTAAAAAAAGGGTCCACTGTGATCTATCCTTGACCTTGGATATTTGATGATTATAACAAATAATATATTGCTGTTACACTTTTTGGAATCATAGAGACACCTTTGTAAATGACTAAGTGACTTTACCAAAGACTTCATTTAGGTTTAGAGTACACAAAAGTTAATCAACAGTGGGAACTCAACTGACAGCAATTTAATCTGATTGGGTAAGGTAATTACATGATTACCAGGAGTGTTTATATATGGAGAAGGATATTTTTATTGGAAAAAACCCTAATTGCTTTCTTACCAAGAAGAGAAAAAAACAAACAAATTTGTTGTAGCAGGTTAAGAGGACATCCTTCATTCCTTGAGACAGCTTCTTTTCATATTTTAGTGACAAAATGAGCTCATAATTCTTTGAAAATTTGTACTGGGATTATGTTATGAGTTCCTCTGTTTCTGAACTTGAAATAATGCCATCAATATCTTGTTTTGTTTAAGCAGCTCATTGATTATATATCTATTGTGTGATAGCCTAAAGATGTCACAATGCTTGTAATTCATTATCTCTTTTACTGTGTGTAAACACTGTTGCTTAAATACGGGTTGATTTCAGCAAACTGAAACCTAAAGGTCCATTATACTAATGGATATTTCTGTGAAGGAGGGCAGTATTTGTTTTTCCATGATGGTAAAAAAAAAAAAAAAAAGGACACAATGTAAAAGATAGGGAGATAAAAGACGGTCTTCCTACATGTTAGAAGAAAAAGTATCCCTTTAGGTTCTCTGAGTGGTCCTTCAGAATATGCTCTTTCATTCTGTTGACAATGAACGGAGTGCTGGGAGATGTATCTTCATTAACAAACATTAACCTCTGTGCTTACCTCCCTGAAGTGCACTGCAGAGTAGAATCCCATTTGGCTAATAAATACTGGCTTGCTCCAGAGCCTGTTGAAGTTATGGGCCAGGCCTGGCCTTGGCACTTCGTAGACTGGTGTTAGATGCCAAAAAAAAAGAAATTGAAACTTATAACTTCATATCTCATCAGTAACTATTGAACATATTCTGCCAATGGAAATGGGGCAAAATCCTCCAAAGTCTGACTTCTAAGGAATTGAAAGTTAATGAACTAGATATTAAATAAGAAATTAATGATTTTTTGAAATTAAATATAACTTTATGGGAAGAAGTTCTCTGACATATTCCATGTTATAAAAGTCACTTGTTCTTCCTTGTGCTAGTTTTTACCTAATAAGTGCTTTAGAAAATATTACAATTTTGAATTGTTTTTCTAAACCAGATGATCCAGTCACTGTTGGAGGCACATAGCCACGGCAAAATCTCATGCTGTACATTGATCACCTGTCCAACCTTTGCCTAGAGTGTGATCCCCAGTTCCTTCAAGAGATCCATCTTTACCTGTCTATAAAGAAGAAGAGGAGGAGGGAGACATCTGGGATATTCAAGTATCAAAGTTTAACACCAGAGCAGGTTGAATCTTGATTTATATTATTCTCTATGTATGTTGCTAGTATTGACTTGGATATTTGGCTGAAGATTTTTTTTTTCAGTAATTATATAGTATGCTCTAAAGTTTTACCAGTGTTAAAGCATTTTTGTTTAAACTGTACGTGCATTTGTCACAGTTCCGTGGTGTGAATCCAAAGTCACTCTGCTGTTAAGGAAGGCAGCTAATACTGAACATGCCTGGCAGTCTGTACCTCTCTCTTGGACATATGCTGGCCACAGAGACTAAAATGGCTTGTTTCAAACTGTTCAGTGTACTGCAGTTGTAGCATTCCGTGTTTAGCACACAACTAAATCCAGGTCCCCAGCACATGCACTCAGTTTCATTCACTTGTTAGACTCACTTTTTACTCTTCCTCTTCCATTTCCAAGAGGACTTTGATATCCCCAAAAAGCCAAGGTTTCGCTTACTGTCCTAAGGACTGCCCCTTTAGGAGTCTAGCACAGCCCACACACAAACCTGGAATATGTCCAACTTGTTCTTTGAGCAGAATGTGAACCTCTGACCTCCTGGGCCTCCGGCAAGAGTGCTGCCTACTGAGCCACCAATACCCAGGCCATCAATAAGTTTTAAATGCCAGTTGCAGACTTCACAGAGATAATGACTTCAGTGTGTAAAGGTTTTGTTGTGGAGGCTGCAGTCTCACATATGGCGTGACAGAGTAAATATGCTAAAACCATAGAGAGCTGTTGCATAACTTGCCTTGATATAACAGTTTTTGTAATATTTTTCAAGGCATGGAATATTATTTAAAGGGACCCTGTTATGTAGGCTTAGGCCCAAAATGAAGCTATTATGAAAAGAATGTTTAGCAAAACCAGAAATATGTCCATGAAATTGTTGGAGTGGGAATTTCAGGGTAACCCTGCTTGGATTTAAAGTCGCCTGCATGACATTGCACTGTTGTGCTAGGGAATGAGAACCAGCAAATGAAAATACCATTAAGTGAGAGTCAGAAACTGAGAAGAATAAAGATGTTAGCAGGCTGTAACTATTATTGCAACTTTTTGAAGATCTTACCACATCCTGAGAAAGATGAGGTGAAAAAGCTAATTCCAATGTAGTGATTCAAAGCACCATTATTGACACAGGTAAAAACATGTATTTGCATTTTGATAGTATTTTTAACCTGATCACAAGTAAGTTCTTGTATTCTATGTACTTATAAAGGAAAATGAATGTGAAATAAGCTTTCAGGTTTTTGGCCAATTTCAGTTTTATTGATGTTCTCTATTTAAAATTTAGCATTAAAAGCATGCAATAGATATGTTGATGTTTGCAATACTCAAATTGATAAATGTGATTATACAAAAGGTTATTTATAGACTTGTATCAGGAAGGAAAACACGGCCACATTCAAGCTAAGACTTACATCATGGAAAGGCTGTTAGATAAATTGCATGAACCTTCTATGGAGCAAAGGCCAGAACCCAGGACTCCTTTTCCCAGCTGAGTCCCCAGATCACTAGGCTACAGACTCTTGCTCCCTCTTGTGTTCTTTCTCTGGCCCACTGAATCTTGAATTATTTTCTGTACAATGATAGTGCTTCAATAGGAGAACATTGATATACCCCTACCTTTGTCCCAGCATTTACCACAGCCTGCAGCTGACTGACTGGAACATTCCACTAAAAGACATTGCTCTGAGTCCTAGACCAAAGAAGGAAAGGCACCTGGGGATTTGGGTCCTGGGATGGATAGTGCTGCTGCTAGACTGTGAATGACTGTTCATGTACCATTTTAGAAAGAAATAGCACCTGAAGAATTCTGTAGGAAACCCACCTGGTTGGTGTTTATTAGGCTGGCTTAGGCTGGCTTTGAGAGCACCTGGTGGATCAAACTCCTCAATCACCTGTGCAGGGGTGGGTTTCATTCCTAGCTCCCTGTGAGGCTTAAACATAAGCTGAGCTGTGAGATGCTCTGCCCTGGCCGGGCCAGTAAACTCTGGCCATCACAGAGATGCAGCTGCTGGGTCTGGCCCATCTTGCCATCAAAAATTGTATTGTCTTTAGAGAATAGACATCTCCAGGATGAGGTAAGGGCCTTCAGGATCACCATTTTGGCTAGACATGCCTAAATTCTCCTCATGACCCATTTTGAATTCCCATATTTTTAGGCTTGTAATTAGTTTATTTTAATTTAACTGCTCCTTTGAATGTAGAACTGAGAGATTTTTATGAATCTGTTTTTCAAACATAAGTTAAGTTTTAAAGAATGTGTTGTAATTAAACAAGATGACAGGAAGAATTTGTGGTTCAAAAGTGCATTGACAGTGTGTTTTGAAGCTTTAAAAAGTGAAATTGCTTTAAATGTGTTAATGCTGTTCAGGCAATTGTGTAGAGCAGTGTCTACTAGATCTGATCTCAGGAATAGTTAACTAAAATAACTGCATTGCAGATCTCAGGAATAGTTAACTAAATTAACTGCATTGCAGTTATAACACAAATATTTGTCAAAATTGCTGACTTAATTCCTAGACTCTTCTTCTTTTTTTTTTTTTTTTTTTTTTTTGCCACATGTGTGTTTTTTATGAAGTCCTGCAGTGCAGGTCCTTATTCATGCAAATGCATTTATCTGCCTCAGTGGAATATTCTGGTGAGTAAGCCAATGTCTGAGATCAACTAGGATGAGTCTGGTTTTCTTTTTAATAGAAATGCTAATTTTCAAAATGACATCTGTGAATTATTTTTAGTCTGAAGAGCTACAGACAGCATAAAAATAGAACAGTGGATTTCCTTGGCAATTCTTTTATTATTGTTTCTACCTGTTTAAAACACTGGAGGAATAATGTGCTTCATTACACGTTGCTTTTCTGGCAGTAGATGTATCACCTAGTTTGGTATCCGAATGTCAACTATTGCTGCTTTGTAATATGGTGAATTGGAGTGATGGAGGTGGGAATAGAAACTTATATTTGTGACAGGCTGCTGGTTTTTAAAGACAAGTCTTTTTCTGCCTCTTTAGTGTCATTGCAATGAAGGTTTATATATAGTAGGATAACACTCAGAAGTAGAAGGATGCAATCTGTGTCCTAGTTGTTCATTGAGTAGGTTTAGGTGCAGTTCATTTGGCAGCATTTGTGTTTCCATGCACATTCCCTATCTCATAATCTGGCTTTAGAAGGGCTACCATTTGCACAATTTAACATTATGTCTCCTTCCACAGTGAACAGAAGTTAAGCTGATAAAGATTTTAAATCAACATCACATTAATGATTTTGTGTGCGTGGGCACCTACTCGTGTAGGGAACTTAGCACCGTGTTGAATTAATTGCTTTAAAGTGTTTGTTAATATGTTAAAGCAGGTCCTTAGATACCAGTGTGATGAATTTGGGCTAAATAACTAAGAAACCACTGTAGTAACCCACGTAATGGCAGAGAAAGATGGAGAATACTGAATGAAAACCAGAATGGAAAAATTGAGTAGGACAGTGGAGAAAACAAACATTTCTACAGAAAACTATGACTTGATAGAGTGGTAAACTCGGGAGGTGAGTAAAGGTCTCCAAAAATGAATAAATTTTGTAAAAGTATGGATAAACCATATTACATGATTCTAGCGGATTTGAATCAGTGTAATTTGGGAAGGCCTGCATGAGGTAGTTACAGTAATTAAAAGTTGTGATCAATAGGAATCTTGATGGAGTCAGATAATAGTCAAACATGAGCCCAGCTATAGCAGACTTGTAGTTCAAATCACATGAAAATTGCTATTTCATTTGGGAACAGCATATTTTCAAGATTACAAATTGAAAGGGTAAAAGTAAATCACAGTAAATATGACTCATATGTTAGTTAAAGGCCTTATCCTCCCAGCTATAAAAATTGTCAACTTCATTGTCAGTTAGGAAAAAAAAAAAGAAAAAGTATGAATGCTGTTGTGTTTTCCCTCAATCAATTTTAAATTAAAACATTTTAAATTTTATTATATATTTTGTTGTTTTTTTTTTTTATAGAAGAGGTTCATTGATGGATGATTAGTAGCAATGATTCCCCAGCCTCAAATAATTTGGTATCTTGAACAGGAAAAGATCGCATGGCAGAGTCTTGCTGTCTCCTCTTTAGTGTTGCCGGAAAGAAAAAAAGCTTGTTTACAAGAGTCTGAATTTTTTTATATTTGCTCTTGGAAATACTGAAGCTAATAGAGAAATTTTCAAGCTGGCAGTGTTTTTGATAGAAACGGTTGCTTTATCAAACCTCTCTCATGTCAAGGGTAGTTTAAAGAAATTTCCTTTAGAAAACTTTAATTTCAAATAGCAAATAACTAATTTATTGGAAATGGAACTGCTCAACAAGAAACCGTGAGAGAAATCTGCATTACAATACCCAGAGCCTAATAGTTAGGGCATTATCCTTTAAGACATGCGACTTTGGTTCAATTTCCTTTTCTGAATCCAGCTGAATAGAGACTTAAATCCAGCTGAATATCTAATGCATCCAAGGCAACTGTCTTTACCACTGGACTATTGTCTGTAATAGGTTGGGTATCTCTGCTTTTGTGAAAATTGTGAAAGGATTTGTCCTAATACTAACAAGACCTTTCTGAAATCTTCAGAATTCTTATAGGCTAGGAAAGAACCTTTGTGCTTAGCTTTATTTGTAACCCCCAGGCTCTGAAGAAATGCCTGTAATAATCATTATTTTATATATTCATACCAGGCAACATTTGTTAATCTGGACTCTAAACCAAATCTCAGTCTCAGACTCCATATAGAACTGTCTTTCCATGCCTCTGGTTATTCCTGTCAGCTGTCTCAGGTTTTTCTGTTTTTCCTATATCCATACTTTTAACAGTTCAACCAAACCTGCCCAGAAGTAGTACTGGGGATATAACAGCAATGAATACAATGGCATTTTTCAATATAGTCTTCTCTCTGTGTTTTTGCACACTACACTTTATTATGACAAGCTGAACTCAGTGGTGATCACTGTGGAAGATGCTTCTAGTTGAAATGTCCACTTAC